TTCTAGTTGTCTTGCCATCATTAGAGATATCCAAGAGCACCAAAAGTTTTAACTAATAAGTGTAAAAACACTGGGTAAGGCCTTTAGAATATATAATAAAGAATGACTTTGACATTCATGAAACCAAATCCCAAGGTTAAACAATACCATATATGATTTAGAATGTTTTAATTTAATAGTCATTAATTAAAAAAGAAAATGATATAAATAAATGATTAAAAAATACAAGGGGCTCCCTTTTTTGAGCCTGAAGCCAATTAAATAGTGTGAACCTAAGGGCTTTATGCGAGCCTTATTGAAGGGGCCTAACGTGTACTAGGTTGAGGTGCTCAAGTTGAGTCATGATGAGCGTGAGGCTTTTTTGGAGCCTAGGCATGCCTTTAACAACTATGCATCAAAATAATAAGTCCTCTTACTGGTAAAACAAGGGAATCCACCATATCAGTGTAAATACTATATAAATACATAAACCAACATGGCAACCACCACATGAGTATTTTGCAGACCTAGAAAAGAACTAATTATTAAAAGATATATCCACTCAAATGTAACCATGAAGCAAATCTTTCGGTTGTCAAAATTTTAAAAATTAGAGCATATTTCAAAACATTACAGAAGAGAAACAAAATTATGAAATTTTCCGAGATGTGACAAAGTCAACAAAGAAAGCTGATGTGATCTTCAAAATATACAAGACAATCTTACCTCTTCTCATACTGTATCAGCCACCCAAAAACCTCATTGAGGTGATTAGAGAATTACTTTTTAGATGGCAGACCTTAAATGCAGCCAGATCATTCTGATAGAAACTCAAATACACCATATTGTTAGTCCTTTGCTGTTGCCAGCATATCTACCAGTAACTCACTTCTCTGATTCCACATTGTCTTACAATCCAGTATTGAATCCTTGAAATCCTATCTCACCCTCATACACTTGATTACCTCAGGAGCTACCTCCTTATACTTGGTCAAAAACCTGGTCTCAAAAACCTTCTTGTTACAATTCAACACTGAAACCACATCTACATCCTTCCCAATCAAACCCCTTGACATCAGAACTTGCAGAACTGCACACCTTGGAATGATTCTACTTTCCAAACTAGTTAGAAAAATATTTGGGCATTTGGCAATCCGTGATACTCTTAAGCCCGCCTTGTTTACAAAGAAATCCATCAGTTCCCTGATCTTCCTCTCTGAGGAAAGTATACACGCTGGTTGCAATTTGAATGCCAAGTAAAATTTGCTTTTTTTTCATAACATTACAGATGAAACATAATTATGAAAATTTCCAACATTTGACAAAGTCGACAGAGAAATCTAATGCAATCTTACCTCTTCTCATACTGTTTCAGCCACCAAAAAACCTCATTGAAGTGATTATAGAATTACTTCTTAGATGGCAGACCATAAATGCAGCCAAATCATTTTTATAGAAACTCAAATACACCATATTGTTAGTACTCTGCTGTTCCCAGCATATCTTGCAGTTACCCACTTCTCTGATTCCACATTGTCCTACAATCTAGAATTGAATCCTTCAAATCCTATCTCACCCTCGTACGCTTTGATTACCTCAGGAGCTACCTCCTTATACTTGGTTAGAAACCTGGTCTCAAAATACTTTTTGCTACCATTTAACGCCCAAACCACTTCTACCTCCTTCCTAATCAAACCCTTTGACATTAAAACTTGCAGAACAGAACATCTTGGAATGATTCTACTTTCCAAACTAAATTTAAAAAGATATGGGCATTTAGCAATCTCTGATGCTCTTAACCCTGCCTTGTTTACGAAGAAATCCATGAGTTTCCTGATCTTCTTCTCTGAGGAAATCATACACAGCGGTTCCAATTTGAATGCCGAATTAAAATCGCTTTCAGACCAACCAAAGCTCATATAAGCTTCCTTCTTCTTCTCCCAATTGAGTTTGCTAATTGCCGACATTGAACTGACAGCCAATAAGTATGATCGAGTTTTGGGATCAAAACCCATTTCCATAACTGCATCATTAACCTCTTTAAACACATCAACTCTCGCCGTTAGTGTTCTAGGCTGCAACAAGATCAATTTTCCAATATGGGATTCAGGCACACCATGAGCCTGCAAGGTGTAGATGTTTGGCACCATAACTTTTTCAATGTTGCACCTAACCATACGGCTAGGGGCAGATATCTTAAGAACATAAACTAAATTCTCACTTGTCCTTATGTATCTTTTAAGGAAATTAATCATGGGTTTAATTTTGTTTTCTAAACTCCTACCTAATACGTCACTTGAACAGATAATCTTAGACAAGTCAGGTCCTACAATACCCAAAGATTCAAAATACTCAATTTTGGGTCCCAAAGTTCGCTCTGGATCAGCCAAAAGCAGTGGTGGGTGCTTGGAAATTAGGCGTGAAATGTGAGTTTCAGTAAAGCCATGCGATCTTAGGAGCTCAAGAACCGAATCCGGTTTCTTTGTGCTCTTAATTTCGACCTTCTTAGAAACTGAGATAGCAGATTTTAGAGACAACCCACATGACTTTGTGAGGTAAGAGATCGTGAGAGTTTGTTTCGGGGTGAAATCTGAGTTGTTTGGTACTGATTGGGTTTGAAAAAAACGAACAATTGTGGGTGTATTATGATTGATTCTGTGATGTATGAGAGTGTTGTATATGGAATGAAACATGGGTGATATTGACTTACAGGATCTGAAAGCCATAGTGTTGAGCGATCTGAATGTTAGCCACTGTCCCGTGCTCGATCTTCCACAAGTTTCAGAGAAAACCCTAGTGGGAGAGTGAGCAAACCCTAGCGAGAGTGATTCAGAAAATGACGTTAAATGTTGTGAGTCAGCTCAGATTGAGTTAATAAAAGAGTCATTAACTGATCATCTATTGTAAACTTCTTTCGGCTGCAGACATGTCCGGTGGATTAAATCAATGTGCAACCAATGGTTAAAACAATGGGTCATATATGCCCCCCACACTCAAAGGAGAGCCTGCAATAATCTATTATGGGCTGTTAAACGGGTTTACTGTGGGCTTAGATGTTGATACCCGTGCCTACTTCACCGCAGCTACCATGATCATACCTGTCCTCACTGGAATCAAAAATTTTGGTTGCGGGGCAGGGAGGTACACTAGCCCAAACCGCTCCATTAGCATTGGTCCAACTCAGTTCAGTCTCAATCCAATCTCAACTCGAAGTTGGATTGGATTGCGCAGGCCAAGGTTCAAAAAAACTTATAATAATCCGAATTAAAATGTGTTCGGGCCGGACGGCCTAACCCGTCCAACCTTCTTTCTTTTTTTTTTTTCTTTTTTTTACCAACAAATATACAACAAATTACATTTTTTTTTTTCGGTTTGAAACATCAAATTTCTAGAAATTTTTAATTCATTAACATATATATATATGATCAAAGTATTAGTATTGTGACTGGAATATTCAATTATTAATTTTTGTGTTTTTTCAAGTCTAATTTTATTTTCATTACTACAAAAAGATAAAACTTACCTTATTTTATTTTAAATATAATTTTTTTTTTCTTTTTATTTGTTATTAAATAAATTTTTATTTTCAAATTATTCCAAATAAAATCCTAAAATAAATATTAAATGGGACTCCTTAATCCAAGCCACCACCCGAGACCAAATCGGAGAGAGAGGGGTAGTGACCACTTGCTATTACAGTAGCACTGGAACCACGACGCAAAGGGTCGCTTCCTTACATCAACGACAAGGTCGCCGTACGACGACCTATTATCCTTCTTCTCCGGCGATGTAATATCTTATCCTGTGCAACGATAGGAATGGCAATTTCTTGATACATGTTTACATTTGGGTTTTCTCTCTCTCTAATCACACATGTGTGTGTGTATATATATATCAAAGATTTAGAATCTGGAAAGAAAAATAATAATAAATAAATTTGGGTTTTGGGTTGAGTTCGGGTCGAGACCGAGCCCAATCCAAACAAGTCTAGATTTTGAAAAATCCCAACCTGATTTTAAATCTAATTTGTGAATTTAAAAACTTAAGTCACAAAAAATTTGGACTGGACTTCGGTTAGCTGCCTAAGTTGCACCCCTACTTCTAAATAGGACTGGCAATTTGTATTTGTGAGTCATGTTCGTGTTGTGTCGATGTAAAAGTATTATACTAAATAGGTAAACTCAAACCCAATCTATTTAATAATTGTGTCAAAAATTCTCAATATTAACCTAATCCGTTTATTAAACAAGTAAACGTGTTAACCCGTTTAATGATTTGTTTATCAAAACGAGACATTTAATATTTAATCAAATACTAAATAAAAGAAAAAAAATTGTCAAAATTAACTCAAATATTAAAAAAAATAATAATAAAAAAAATAAGGCATAAACAATGTTTATGTTGAAATGATTTAACTATTCATAATAATTGTAACATGTTAAATTAAATAAGTTATAAATGGGTTACACGGGTTGAATCCCTTAACTCTAACCTGACACGATTAAATAAACGGATTAATCGCATCGACACTGACTCTTTTATGATCTAAACCTATTTATGTCAAACCTAAATCTTTTAAACCCATATTCTGCTCGTGTCTAGTCATAATTTATCACCCTTATAAGTATTGAAAAGAGATAACTTTTCTCATATTTCTTTTGGGAGTCAATGGGACTCAAATTTTTTTTATTTTTTAATCTCGCTCCAAAGCCGTAATACATTATCAAAGCACGTGAAACTTGAGAATGGCTGTCACATGATCGCAAATTCCTAAAGTTGACCCACACACTATGTTTGTGGAGGAAGACATAGAAGTCTTCAAACACTGCAACTCTGTAACACTTTATTGAATATATATATTTCCGGAATATATATTGAATATACACAGACAAATACAATTTACAAATAAATAAATTGAATAACGAATATACTGTCCCCTTCCAGATCCAAAAACAAACCCGTTTTTTTTTTAATACTACTCAATATATAAAATAGATAAATAAAAAGTACAAATTAATCAGTTGAATTATTGAATATACTGTCCTATTCCGAGGTACTAGGCGACTGGCGAGTGGAGACACCAACAGAACACCAAAGCAGAGAAGGGTCTCGAGGCTGTAAATAGGGAGAGAGAGAGAGCGATACAGGTAGAGATAGAGAGAGAATCAGAAGAAGAAGAAGAAGAAGAAAGAGAGAGAAGCAGCGATGCACCTGATGAATGCGTTTGTGTTGATTCGAATGGCGATGAGGAATTTTGGGGCAGAAGAATCGGGAGAAATAGCATTTGGATCGTTGTGGTTCTTCATATACATCGGAATCTCCTGTTTTCTGGTCCTCTTCGCTGGAATCATGTCCGGCCTCACCTTGGGATTGATGTCCTTAGGCCTCGTCGAGCTTGAGATTCTCCAGCGAAGCGGAACTTCCACCGAGAAAAAGCAAGCAGGTTCATCCACTCCCAATTCTATACATTTGAATCTATATGTGTATGTATACACACACCCATTATGATTGATTTTGTGTTTCTCTGTAGTATGGAAATTCAATTGTGCAATTTTGTGATTTCAATTCACAAAATTTTAGGAATTTTGGGGGATTAAATTGGTGAAAATGATTATTGTTATGGGTATTATGTATATTTGAACTTATGGTGTGATGTTACTACTGAACTTAATGCCAGAGATCAAATTGAAGGCAATGATTCCGAGAATGTCATTGGGTTGATGAAGTGTGATGAAGAGGACTAATCATCTAGGGAATGATATCCAAGAAGCTCATGCTTTGTTAGTCTAACATAGAATTGCATATGATATGCTAATCCATTCCATTGCACACATATTAAACTAAACTTCTCGGTTAATCCAATAGTGAGAAACTGTTCCTTGATAGAGCAACGGCAGCTAAGTCCTACTAGATGCTTCTTATTGTCCCCCAAAACCCTAGTTATTTTATGGGAATAGTGTTTTTTTTTTTTTTTTGATAAATAAAGAGTATATTAGAGAGCCTTCAAAAGGGGAACACATCCTGAAAGTTGACAGAGAATGGTCCTAGGGACCCAAAGAACCCAAAAAATCCATGATTTAATCTAAAGATATACAATTTCTCCTCACCACCCAACTAAAAATAGAACTAATACTTGTAAATTTCAGCACTCCAATGGAAGATTCCTCCCCCTCAAAAGATCTTTTATTCCGCTCCTTCCAAATACACCACCAAACACAAAGGGCATGACCCATTGGACATCGAACAAACAAAAAATAAGACTTCAGCAGGCATAAGCCACAGGGCAATGTAAAAGATGGTGATCCATAGACTCGCCATCATTCTTACGCATATAACACCAGTTGACTATGATTTGTCTTCTGTTTCTCAAATTGTCCAAGGTCAAAATCTTGCCCCAAAGTGCATTCCAGGTGAAAAAGTCCACTCTGAGAGGAGCCTTTGAACACCGCACCATCTTTCACTTTAAATTGGAACCACGAAACCCGACAAGGTAGAAGAACAAAGAACAGACCTCAAAGCTCCTTTGAGGAGAAGGGACCTAAACCAAGGAATTAGACCCTCTACCATCCACCTCTTATCTATGCAAAAGATCAAGCAGGCCAGAAACATCATCTAGTTCCCAATCCTGAAAGGAACGTTGAAAACGCACATCCCACGTAAGCCTACCGCTACCAAGCCGTTAATAGTTTGCTACCATAGCATGTCTATCCACAGCTATCCTGAAAAGTCTTGGGAACAAACAGGACAATGGTGATCACCACACCAAGAATCCACACAGAACCGAACATCCTACCCTCCCGAACTCTAAACCTATTATGTTTAGAGGACTCATCCCAACCCTTTCGAATGCATTTCCACACTCCCACGCCAACAACAGATCTAACTGGTCCCCAAGACCATCCCCCTATCTCCCTCCCAAAGTGGCTTGAAATAACCCTCCTCCATTAACGATGGCTTTCGCTACCAAATCTCCAAAGCCACTTACCAAGGAGCGCCCTGTCGAAAGGGACCAACCTCCTAATCCAAAATCCACCCATTTGAAGAGGCCTGCAAACTTGCTCCCACCTGACAAGATGATACTTGAACTCCTCTCCTTGGCCACCTCAAAGAAAGTTTCGTTGAAGAGTTTCGAGTTTTCCAGCTATAGGGGAAGGAATCTTGAAGAGAGAGAGGAAATATGTTGGGAGACTCGACAATGTACTCTTAATAAGAGTAACCTTCCCGCCCTTCAAATGACATTGCTTCTTCCACCCAACCAATCTCATCTTAAAACGCTGAATCACCGGATCCCAAACTCCCACCCTCCTTGACAAAACACCTAAAGGCAAGCCCAGATAAAACAATAGGAAAAGAACTAGTCCCGCACCCTAGAACCGTAGCAAGAGAAGTCACCTCCTGAACCTCCCCCACAGGGATAAGCACACACTTTCCCACATTAACCTTCAAACTTGACACTGCCTAAAAACAAACCAGAACACACCTCAAATATCTGAGGTTGGGCCACGTCCGCATCATAGAAAACCAATGTATCGTCTGCAAACAGTAAATGAAAAATATCCATCTGCTCAGTTGAATCTGGACCCATCCTGAAACCCCTGATAAAGCCCAAATCCGGAGGGAGCCCCATTCCACCAACACAGATAATCTAACAGAAGAAATACACACCTTGATCCATCTCCTCCATTTCTCCCCAAATCCCATCCTCCCCAATATATACAACAGGAAATTCCAGCTAACATGATCATATCTGTTATCATGCTAGTGGTTGATTTTGTGTTATCTTTCTATTTTCAGCTGCTATCCTTCCAGTTGTTCAGAAGCAACACCAACTTCTCGTGACTTTGTTGTTATGTAATGCTTGTGCCATGGAGGTAACAATTGAACTTTCTGGTTTACTTAAATTTTCTGAAAGTTTGGCTTTAATTTTATTTAACTGTAATTGTCTTTGCCGTATATGGAAAATCTTTTTTTCTTCTTCTTCATTTGCAATGGAAAAACTTCGAATATGTGATGTATGCTTTTGCATTGTTTTGGTGTGTTTGGGGGGGGGGGGGGGGGGGGGGGGGGGGGTTGGTGGGGTGTGGGGGGTGGGTTTTTGCTGTAATCCACAAATAATTCATAAGTGACCCACAAGAATTATTTTTTTAGAAGATAAACCCATTGAATTTACTAATATTCAATTAGCTCCCATGCTGCTTGGTCGCCATTAAAGAATAATAGAAATATTGTCACATGTGACAAATATTTTGCTGTTATGACAATTATACACTTCAGATGACCATAGCATCCTTGAATCATTTTTTTTGTTTAGCAATAGAAACTTGAGGTCTAATTTGGAGATTATCTTTATTGGCATGCATAATTTTATGTATAGCATACGAAATTTGAACCTATTATTGAATTTTAGAAGCAGATATTCTATTGCTTTGTCACTTATTTCTTCCCATCTAATGAGTAGTCATATAACATAAATTGGAAGGGAGCATATTAAAATAGTAATGAATCTAGTAGCCAACTTGCAAATATTGTAACAAACTCAAAAAGGGAAAAAATTTGCACCCCCTTTTAGTGTATGCTGATGAAGAAAATTAAACAGTGGGTCTCCTCCAAAGTAGCTCTATAAGCTACTGAATGAAGTTGTGATGTAATTGTCTTATTAATATTTTTCCCTTTTCAGCACCTCCCTTAGTCAGGACCCGCACCCTTTTGTTATCTTATTTAGGAATTTAATTTATACCGATTTTGCAAGTGCTTTTTTCTTTCCATTTCAAGATTTTAAAGCATCCTTAAAATTTTCTGATAGCTGGCTGTTTCAATCCTTGCAATCTGCAGGCCCTTCCTATATATCTGGATAAACTTTTCAATCAGTTTGTCGCCATTTTGCTCTCTGTAACTTTTGTTCTAGCTTTTGGAGAGGTACACTTCATTATTAAGCTGTGTTTAAGCTTCAACTTCTGTAACCACATACAGTTGATGGAATTTGATCCTCCAATTACCTTTCTGTTGTTAGGTTATTCCACAATCAATATGTACCCGATATGGACTTGCTGTTGGTGCAAATTTTGTTTGGCTCGTGCGTATATTAATGATAATCTGCTATCCAATTGCTTATCCTATTGGAAAGGTAATTTCTACACCATATTGTTAAACAAAATTAAATCTTGTATGTGCATTTACACTATTGTTGCTTTATTATTGATGAAAAAGGCAAATAAATCTATTATCTTCCTTGTCTTGTAACTACTATGGTCACAAATTGTTTGCATTCTAAGTCCATTGTGACATTGCATAATGGAAGCACAATAAGTGGAGTGTCATCAAGGAATCAATTGGCATATTTGATTAAAGCCATTTAGATGGAATAGAAATCTGAGAGGTGGAATATTATATCTGCTTTGGCACCAAGAGCCTTGGTGAATAGCAACCCACGATCATGGCGGGTGCTTGTCTTAGGGAGAGATGCCTTGTGGGTTGTGCATAAATGCCCACATGGACAGGAGCGGAGCCAAGAATTAGTTTAGAGGGGGCACATTTAGCATGATAAAAAAATTTCCAACTAACAGTGCAGCAAGATAACAAGCCGAAAAATATTAGTGTAGTATCAGTATATTAATTTGTTTTCATGTCTTGTTTATCTTTTTCACCAAATTTTCAATGATACACAAACCAAAACGATTGTCAAACATGCCCCAAGTGTACAAAATTTTAGTAATAAAATATAAAGAATAAGTAGATAAAAAATGAATAAGAAGAGAAAAAAAGTAAGGTTAATGGATATAAATCACACATGTGCAAGGAAAAGAAATTTTTTAAGAAGAAAAAAATATGAGAGAAGTTTGAAGGGAAAAAAAGTTTGGTTCTGATTGCAGAAAGAAAAAGCAAGAATTTTTTTTTGAGGAGAATAAATAGAAATTTGAGGAAGAATAAGAGTAAGAAGGAAATAAGGAATTAAAGAGATTTATAGGGGAAAAAACAATTTGAGGGGGGCCATTTTATAGTTTTTTACAAATCAAATGCATAATATATAATAAAACTAATGGGCCAGCATGGGCCCAGAGGGGGCAGCTGCCACCCCTTGGGCCCATGCTGGCTCCGCCCCTGCACATGGATGCAAACCTGCATGAGTGGCTATTCCGGAGGACTATGCCTGTAAAGGGTCCCCCTTAAAGACACTCTGAGTACAACACATTGATGCTTGACACTGTTTAGTTTGGACCATAGTCTGAGGAGATCCATTTGGTACTTGAGGGTCTCTATTCGATTGCTGGTGGTCTTTATGTAGGGAGAGAAATAGGAGGTCAGGGCAAGGAAACCCCTATTAGTGTGCTTGAGTTCTCTATTCTTCACACTTCATTTTTTTGGATTCAGGGGAAAAAAATTGTAAATCTATAGGGGGAGAGAGTGGATTTTGTGGATTCTTTGAGTGTTTAGGGTCCTATTTGGCTCTTGTTTAGTTTTCGGGGATGCGTTTCCCTTTTGAGAGCCGACTATAATACTTTACTCACAAAAAAAAAAAAAAAGAAGTGCTAGTTGTGGGATTGTCAGCATGTCTATTCATTAATTGTTTGGTACTAGCTGGATATTTGATCTTTCTCATTTGATGCTCCTTAAATCGTTTTTTAATTTCTGGTTATAACTTTTGAATTTTTCTTTTTAAATTCGTCATTATTTTATAAAAAATTTAAAATTATTTTGTACTTTAATTTTAGTGAGGTAATGAATACACTTTTGAATTTTACTTTTTAAATTTGTCATTATTTTATAAAAAATTTAAAATTATTTTGTACTTTAATTTTAGTGAGGTAATGAATATCTCATTATATATTTAGATTATGTTTAATTTACTTTTAAATTGAGTTAAAACTCTTGTGTAGAACCACTTTCATGACTTCAGTAACAATAAAATAACAACAATTTTATAAAAATCAACAAAATAACTTGTCAAAAAAAAAGTGAACAAAAATTACCATTTCTTTTTATATAATTAATATTATACACTTTTTTTTTTCTTGATAAGTAAATATTATACACTTTTAGAAAATAAAAAGACAAATTATTTCGGAATTAAAATTTCTAAAATGCCAAAAATATAATTCTTAATAAGAAATTTTAAACACGTTTAAATAGTTTATAAAAGTATGGACAATACTTGGGTCCTGCCCTATTAGGACCAACTTGATCCTGATAGGTGACGTGATCCAATGAGATATAGACATGTCCCAAAACTATTAATATTAAAAAGAAATTAAAAAATGAATCAAACCTATTTTTAACAGGTTAACCCGGTAACCCATTTGAGAAATCATGTCTCAATCTCCTCTCTTGCCCCTCTGTAAATTTTTCACAATGACACACGGGGCAAAACGGGTAACGTTTCTCTCTCTCATCCGTGTTTCTCTGTCTCTTTCTCATCTTCTACAACAACATTGTGTTTCTCTCTCATTCTTATCTTTCTATACTTGCAACCAGATCGTACTCTCTCTCTCTCTCTCTCTCTCTCTCTCCCTCTCTCTCCTGCAGCAAATCTCCTTACCTACCCCAACCTCTGTCTCAGACACTAAATTCCATCTAATTTCTGCCACTCTCCACCCTCTGCCACCACCACTGCGAAACCCTAACTTCCATATATATGTACTTTATATTACATATATATCTGTAATGATACCAGAAATTTATATATATATATATATATATATATATATATCCATATAACTGATTGCCTCCGATTTTTATTAAATATAACTGATCGCAGTAACAGTTGAAGAAGCCCTAGCGTCCTGAAGCCGAATCACAGCGAGATCCAACTCTTCAGATCGATGATGAAATCCAAATATCCAAATGATTTGAAGCTTCAAAAACTGATCAGATGAACAAACACCACCTGTTCTTCAAATCTATTGTCTTTCAGCTAAAGAGAGTTCAAATGATCCAAGCATAAAAAAGTCATTGAAAATCAACAATTGATACGAGATTCCACAAATTTTCGAATGCTTATGTAATGAAAGGGTAATTTGTATATGTAATATGGGTCCTGACCAGGTTAACCTGTTAAAACGAGTCTGATCTATTTTTTAGTTTAAGACGCGAGTCACTCTTATTGGGTCACGTCACCTATTGGTCCTGATAGGTATTGTCCTAAAAATATTTGGATTACATATCAAAATTTGAATTGAAATTACAATTAAAAATTTCACTTCTAATTTGGTAAGGGTATAAAAAATGGAAGATTGAAGGATTTGGAACTTAAATGGTTAAAGATTTTAAAAGTAGGGCTTATTAATCTTATTAAAATTTGTTAGGAATTATCGATCCTTTTAAAAGGAAAAGCAGGAGGTATTGGTAATTTTCCCTTTTCTTTATTATTATGATAAATTGTGTAATTCAATATTTACCTCTTAGCAGTTTAACAATTTTCTTGGCTTTACATGTGCTCTTATGTTATTCCAGATTCTTGACTGTGTACTGGGACACAATGAAGCGCTATTCCGACGGGCTCAGTTGAAAGCCCTAGTCAACATCCACAGCCAAGAGGTAAATAAATCCAATTTGAGCTTGTATGTACAATCCTACCAATTTAACTTATAAAAAATGTTTGAAAGTGTAAAAACTGAAAAGTTGCCAAAACTACAAAATAACTCTGTGACTTGTCCTTGCTTTTTCTCATAGCCTAATATGCTATTGTTGTCATTTTTAGGAAGGCAAGGGAGGTGAACTAACGCATGATGAAACTACTATTATTAGTGGTGCACTAGATTTAACTGAAAAGGTATGAATGACGCTTAAACTGTTCTGTGAAAGTCCATTAATTTATTGTCTGTTTGACTGTTGACTCCATCAGTGTACAACTTACAATACTAAATTTATGTTTTAGAAATAAGAAATTAGAAATTGAAGCTGAAACTATGAAAGATGTTTCATGTTCATCCTTTCAATCTTGTTTTTCAGTTGTTAGTTGTTACATTAATAAGGATGTGGGAATATGCGACTACCACTTCATCAAACTTGATCTTTAGGGCATCTGGATTCATTTCTTCATTAAGTATAAAAGTTCAAGAGTCCTTGGTATAAATGGTTTTTTGTTTGAGATTTACTAGATGCCTTTTTTTTTTTTTGGCTTGAATAAAAAGCTGTTTGAATTACTGAACTTGCAGGCAAATTTTGATAACCTGAATCTGCCCAACACTTTCTTTAATTATCCCACGTTCGCCATTTTTATCACACGTCCTAGAATTTTATTTTACCTTTTTTGGTATTTTAATAAAAAGAAAAAATTAAATGACAATTTCTTTTTTTTTTTATTTTCCATCAGAATTCACCTTCAGTTGGATCTAAGTACTTCATGTCCAAATTAATCCAACCAACTTTGATTCAATTTAAAACCTATAATTTGTTAAGTTTGCTCGATGCTTCAGAACACATCATGCTCCAGACCTCTAATTTTCTTCTTCTTCACTGCATCCGCTTCTAGAGCTTAAAATTTTGCAGAAAGTGATATTATTGTAATCAGCTTCCCAAAATTCTTAGAATATTTCTTCTGGCCCCCCTCCCTTTTTTTTTTTTTTTTTTTGAACAGACTGCTGAGGAGGCTATGACACCCATTGAATCAACATTTTCCTTAGATGTGAATTCAAAATTGGACTGGTAAGTGTTACTTCTGTGTATAATTTATTTTCTGTTGCTCCTATATCTGTACATGATACAGACTTTTGAATGTGGATAATATGTTGGAAACTTGAGTCATTACCACTAAATGTGTTTTTTTTTCTAATAGAAGTAATTCTGGGACTTAGATTCATAATATATTGTTCATGTATTGTTCTATCTTTAAATATATATCAGGGAGGCAATGGGAAAAATTCTTGCTCGAGGTCATAGTAGAGTTCCTGTTTATTCTGGGAACCCAAAAAATATTATTGGACTTCTACTGGTGGGTTCTATAACCTGAAACTTCCAGTAAGTTTTTGTAAGATATTTCTTTTATAATATTTTTCTGTATTTCTTTTTTCTACACGGGTTGAAAGTAGGTTAAAAGTCTTCTTACAGTACGAGCGGAAACAGAGACCCCGGTTAGTGCTGTTTCCATCAGGAGAATTCCAAGGTGTGCTTATTCATCCTTATAGGTGTTATGTATGCTTTTCCAGAACTTACACATGGAATATAAACTATTCGTATGTGGAATGATTCCAGGGTTCCTGCAGATATGCCTCTGTATGACATATTGAATGAGTTTCAAAAGGGTAGCAGTCATATGGCAGCTGTGGTGAAGGCTAAAGGGAAAAGCAAAAATCCTCCATCAATTGTTGAGGGAAAACCTGAAGAGCACAAATTTAGTGATGCGAATTCTCAAATAACTACTCCTTTGCTATACCAGCAGGGTGAGAAGCGAGAAAGCATTGTTGTTGACATAGAGAAGGCACCAAGGCCAACCATTATGAACGGGCAAACAGCAACCAATGTATTGCCTCATTTGTCAGAGGATATTGAAGATGGTGAAGTAATTGGTATCATTACCTTGGAAGATGTATTTGAAGAACTTTTGCAAGTAATTCCGTAGTATATTGATATCTCAATTCCTCTGGCTTTTGTTCAGTTAACATTAAACTCTAAATGATTTATTACTTCATCAATGCAGGAGGAGATTGTAGATGAGACAGATGAATTTGTTGATGTACATAAAAGGTAATGTAACCTTCGAGAATTTTGAAGGCAATTAAGGCTAATGCCATTTGCTAGGGGGGAAATGAGTTATTCTTTCAATTTTGCAGGATACGTGTGGCTGCAGCCGCAGCTGCTTCATCAGTGGCACGTGCTCCATCAATCCGGAGGTTGACGGGCCATAAAGGAGTGGTAAGTAATCATAATTATCTGATTCCCCTTGTCTGCTTCTTGTTATTGAACGATTGAACTGGAATAACATTTTAGTTAATTTCATGCACTTAATGGAAATCAATTTTTTATTCTCCCTGCGATGGGTCCAAAACCAGAATTCAACCCAGCATAAGGAAAGTGAAGATTCATTTGGTACGAGATAGTAATTCCAGCTAAGATACCCACTAACAAAATTTTGGAGCATGAGAAAACTAAAGTACCTTAGAACTAGCTGTAATTAAATTGAAGGAATAAACAATATTATTTTATATTTAAATTATTGAAATTCAATTACTTAATAGACAGACATATAATACAATTATATTGTAGGGAGTATTATAACAAAATTGCTATATAACATTTGAAGAGCAGCCTTAATAATAATAATTTTAATAATAATAATTATTATTATTATAATTGTGTGATGAACCTAAATGAATCTACAGAGATCAAAATCTTCTTCTAGAAAAGTTTTCCTGATAGGTGTTGTCTTTGTGGCTTCTTGTTTTCAAATAAAATCTGAGTGTCAAGTAGTTCTAGTGGTTTATGGTTGTTTCGGCTCTTAAATTCCTCAGGGAGTCCAAAGCAAGCAAGGACCGACACCGAAGAGGGTTATTGAGGACGATTTGAACTCAACAAGGCAACAAGGAAATCTTGGTGAGCCTCTTCTCGGGAACAAGAGATGAATATGTGATACAGTTTAATTCATGACATGTTGATCCCACTGATCGTGAGAGAAAGGTATTCTATTTATGTGGCAAAAGGAACTTTGCAGTGTATTGTAATTTTGAAACTTGATGAGCAGTTAATTAATGCATGTAATTTCTTAAGTTACTTCGCCATATTGGTTTATGTAAATTTGGGGACCTCGTCTAAAATGGTATTTTGTAATAGAAGCATGGTTATTCTCGGTATGGTTTGAAGAAAAATAGAAAAAGAAAAAGAAAAAGAAAAAGAAAGTTAAGTTAGGCCATTGATAAGGTATCTATAGGATGGAAAGGAGCTTTTTGCTTGGGGGAGGGGAACTCGAACATGAGCACACCCTCTTGGGGAGATGAGCGTTCAACCAACTAGGTAACTGGGTAATCCTTTGGTTATACACACGCATTCATTTATCCCTTTAGAACCGGAAACCATGACCTTCCATTTGGAACGAAGGAGGAAATAATTTACTTGAGCTAAGCCTGAAGAAGAAAAAGAAAGATTATAGTTTCTGACCAGAGGGTAGGGGCTTTTCTTCCTTCCTTTATCTTCCCTCCTCTCCTCTGCCAAATGGAGGAAAGGCTTTCTTCCCAACCTCTTCCCTCTATGACATTCTCCCTCCTTGCTAAATAGGATGTTGACACTTAGCATACGAGGGCCCATCTTGATAGTTTGATACAAGGGAATTGTTCTTCTTTATGGCAGCTTGCCCTCTGGAATGCCCCTCTTCCCGGCCATGATCATTCATGAATGAATGTGTGTGTGTGTGTGTGTGTGTGTGAGAGAGAGAGAGAGAGAGAGAGAGAGAGACCTAACTCCTCAGGGTGTTATATTTACATGAACTCTTCATGGTACATTTCTCAAATTCTCCCTGGTGACATCTTGACACTATTTTGCAGGGAGGTACTATTCGAAACTAATGAAAGTATTTATACATACCATAAATATATCATCAACCTTAGTTACCACTTACCATAGAGATTGTAAGACCTTGCACAAAACAAGCTCTGGCTAATCATTAAACCACTACCCTTGTAACTCATCAAAGCTTCTTCTACCTCCAAAAACCTACTCATTCCACTGCAAAAGAATCAGCGAACACCTCCATATAATATAAACGCGCGTTCTCTGCTCCCCTATATACCTCGAGCACCGCTGCTGCCATAATCGAAGCTTCGTGATTCGCATTTGGGATGACTGTCCAGCCATGTCATGCAACAGCTAGTAGAGTAGAGAGAATTTCACCTGAAGCTGATATAGTTACAAGGTCTAAACAAGGTCATCAGTTCATGGGGAATCATATATATATATAGAGAAAATAGTTGTGAAGATGTGTGTGAGACAACGTGTGGTGGGTGACACGTGTTGGCTTCTGATTTGGGGATCTGATGAGGGTCAGCATTACATGGTCCTACACTGCTTGTTAAAGATGACTATGCACAGTCATCAGCTTGTCTCCATGCCAAACCAACCCTTCGGAAAAAGGACTGATTGTTAACTTATCCTTCATAGAAGGGCATTTATGTCTTTTAATTAAAGGACTCTATTTGTCCCCGTGTGTGTGTTTGTGTGTGTAAAGTAGCAATTCAGACCCTTGAATTCGGCTTCTGTTTGGATGGCACCGGTTCACACTTGCATTTAACATATTTATTTATCTATTTATTATTATTATTTTTTTGTACCGGCAAAGACAAACACACAAGAAACCAAAACCACCAGAAAAAACCTAAGATCCAACATTTGCCACAGCAAAAGGAATAATAGAAGGAGGTAAAGAAGATAAAAGCTGATCCGACCCAAGCCCAGTCCGCGAAAGAGCAGCTAACGCATGAGCCACCCGATTACTCTGGCGACGCACATGAGTCAAAATAGCAGACGAAAAACGGCGCAGGTCCCGATTAACATCAAAACATATAGAAGCAATTTTCGAAGGACACGTCTCCCTACGCAACACCCCATTCACCACAACTATGGCATCCGATTCAAACCATAAGCAAGATAATCCCAAATCCAAATCCCAAAGAACAGCACACTGACACACTAACGATTCCGCCTCCAAAGATGAAGAAGCGGGAAAAGGGCAAAAAATAATTGCGTGAAGCACATCACCCCGAAAATCACGGAAAACGGCGCCACCACCCCCCCTGCAAGGACTGCCCACAAAAATAAGCATCAAAATTGCACTTAACAATTCCAGATGGAGGAGGACTCCATGAATCCACCAAAGGGATAGACGGTGCTGTCTGCAAAGAAGAGCAACGGGACCTAGCATCATGAAACTCCTAAAAACTGGCAACAGCCCTCCGAACTACAACCTCAGGTTGCCATCCCTCAAAGACCAACCGATTCCTGGCCTTCCAAATACCCCAAATACAAAAAGAAAGTAAACTAAGAACATTCTCAAACTCCGAAGAGAGAATAGCCTTTTGCAACAGAAATTTTCAGCCATCCCGAAAAGAAGGAAAGTAATAAGTTGAAAAATCAAGTTACAGCGGTGATAACTTCCACACTTGAATGGAGTGAGGACAAGAAAAAATAATTGCCGCAAGTTTCTACAAAGTGTGCGACATGTTACTTGTGATTGCCTTTTCCGTCAAACTGTTGAAGCTTTAGAGGTTGATACCCAATCGGCATTTTTAAGATGTCAATTCTTTCCATGTAAGGCTTTAAGTACATGCGAGCACTTTGAGAAATACCATTGTATTATTCTCTTATGTAATTCACTATCATGTCTTGAAGTTGTTGGACAGAAAGTGAGGTGACAGAGGCACCATCAATTGTTGGATTGGCGGACACGTCATTTTGATCATCAATTAGAGTGTTCTCTGGCATGGAATTAGAATGAGGAATTAAGCCTTTGCTTGACTTAGCATTGTCATCACGCAATTTTAACTTTTCTGTCAGCGAGGCAATTTTCAGATCTTGCTCCTTGAGAAAGTGTTGTAATCTTTCAATTGCACGAGCCGTAGTCATCAATTGCTCTTCGTACGAGGTAATACTCGTCATCATGACTGGCATAGTGATGGAGTCAGAAAAAATCTTTGGTCTTGGGTAGACCAGCCTTAAACTTTAACTTGTGACTAGAACAACCTTTGAGGTTGTAGGAACCTTCCTCCTTGCCCCCAGCGAGGTGAAGGCAGCATGAGTTTGAGTTGTTACTTTAACAGATTTGGTGAAATCGATTCTCATTGCATCGTGCTGTCTTTTGGCAGGAACGAATGCTTTGACCATGCTCCACATCATTGAATTTGCAGAGTTGTTTGTACCACTTGACAAAGTTGCAACCTTTTTGCCACCTTTTGTGGTGGTGATAATGTTATCCGTCATGACTACGATGTCCTTGGTGGTATTCTTGCTCTTTGTCTGAATCTTGTCGAAAGTCATAGAATTTGACGATGAATTTGCTGAGGATTTGATGTAGGAGAAAGAGATGAAAGGCAGAGGAGGTCCTACCGGGCGTGCCAAAAATTTGTACACACAAATTTCATAGTCTGCAAATGTGATAAGTGCTTAAATGTTGCACATTTCAGCACCTAAGCTAGGGTATTTGAGTCCTTATTTTTATCTTACTTTCATATTTTATTTCTAATTTATGTTTTTGTCAATTTCAGGTCAAGAAGGTTCAAATGGACTAATTTCGGTTCATTAAAGCCTTTTTGGAGTCAAGCAAATACAGTTGGAAAATGTTTAGAAAATGGCTAAAAGAGGCCGTAGCCATTGTTCGTATATTGTGCTTATTATTCAAAAGCGGTCAATTCTATGTTTTTCGAGCCTTTGATGATGTTCCCAAAGATGAAGAAGCAAACCAATTAGCCCGGGTCAAAATGGAACTAAATAAGGCTTAAAGAAAATTTCCAACTCTGCCCCACTATTCATAGAACTAAAAATGCCCTTGGGGGATCGATCCCCAGGGCTGGGGGATCGATCCCCCAGCCCCTGGCAACATTGCGGGATTAATGTTTACTTGGTTACTGGATTTTCTTGTTTTGGGCTTATTTTTGCAACTTATTAGTCTCCAATAAGACTTATATTTAAGGAAACCAATACCCATTAGTTTGGGGAGTTTTTTATTTTAAGATATTATTTTATTTTTCTATTTTTGAGATATCGATATCTCTCTCTGGAAAACGAAAAAAAGAGGAAAAAACGCAAAGAAGAAGAAAAAGCTCAAAGATGAATAAGCAAGGGATGGAGTTGGTTCTGTCTTCGAATCCATCAACCATGACTGGCTGATTCTTCAACTTAGGGTTGGATAAACCCTAAGCATGTAACCTAACTTTTCTCTCTTTTACTATTTTAGGGATTTAATTTATGTAATTTTTGTTATAGCCTTGATATACATATAATAATTCTTTCAATTGATTATCTTTGTCAATCTCATATTATCTTATATGTTTTTGAATGATAATTGATCTTTACACTTGATTTCTTTGTGAATTGAATCATGTGATGACTATGCATTGTATTAATTTGATGTAATTGTGTTTTGATTTGATGAAAATTGCGTATATTAGATGGGTTGTACTACACAATTAGGTTAATGTCTAGTTTAAATAGTTTAATTTCAGGTTTGGTTAATTTAACTTAAGGTAAATTAGTTAATTGCAGTTTAATTATTAGGTAAGTAGACAATCCATACAATTGTTTGAAATCCATACTTATTGTCACAATTACATATCCTTTAAATTAATGTGTGTTAAATTTGTAACTTGGATTGATGAATCATGCTCTGAATTAGTGGATTGCACTGCACTTAGTTTAGTTGTCATTAGGTAGTTGATTCATGCTTGAAATTGATGGTTTACACTTTTCATTGCAATTGTTAGCCACATATAGATTACATAGTATTATTTCTCCAATTAGTTGAAAGTTAGTGAGTTAGGGAATGTACTTAGTGGTAAATCCTACACCCTAAGTCTCTTTCCAATCTTTTAAACTCTATTTCTTTATTACAATCATTTAGTTTAAAATTAGTTTTAATCACAAACAAAACCCGTTTTAGCAATCATATAAGTACTAAAGTATAATTCAATTCCAAAAACCAATAATTATTTAGATCTCTTGGGACGATCCCTACTCGCTTCATACTCCATAGTATAAGTGTTTAGTGGTTTTATAAATTATAAAATATGATGCCCACTTGACATTATTTCTAAACCTAAAGTGATGTGCATTATTTTGTGCACATGCTGAGTCGCATCATCTGC